TTTGGCTCAGCGGTTAGAGCGTCCGCCTGCGGTCCGGAGAGACCCGGGTTCGGTTCCCGCTAAGGGCATGTACCTCGGTTGCAGTTTGTCCCCGGCCCTGGTTGGTCGTGCGGGTGGCAGCCACTCGATGTGTCCCTTTTACATCGATGTTTCCCTCTCTCCCTCTTCCTCTCTCTCCCTCCCACTCTGTCTGTACAAAAAATGGAAAAATGTCCTCGGGTGAGGATAAAAAAAAAAAAAAAAAAAGTAGGAGCCGGCGTGTTTTCTGAGAAGGATGAAGGTGTGAAGGGAAACTCGTCTTGGGTCAGAGAAGAAAACCTGATTTCGGCAAAGGAGGAAGGAGAAGGGTGGGAAGGAAGACGGAGGGCCTGTTCCTCCTCCCTCACCTCCGACCCTCAGAAGGCGCAAACATGGGTCTTCCCTCCCGGGGACGCCAGGTGACAGACACCCTGAGCTGGACACCTGAGGCGCCCTCCTGTCCTCACCCTACGACCCCAGACCGTCTCTGGGTAGCTGAGGCTGAGATGTCCAGCTTCAGGGGACAGACTTCAACCCTTCACATTTTAATGTCATTTGCTCACAGAAGTAAAACGAGAGCTACCCTATGATCCGGCGATTCCACTTCTGGATATTTCTCTGAAGAAACAGAAACACTGACTTGGAAAGATGTATGTGTTCCCATGTTCACAGCAGCCTTATTTACAGGCCCGGAAGCCACCACGTCGATGGACAACCGGATGAAGACAGCGTGGCATTCAGCACAGGCGTGATGAACATGACTCAGCACAAAGCAGAGGGCGATCTCGCCCGTCGTGACTGCGTGGGTGGGCCTGGAGGGCACTGTGCTAAGGGGAACGAGCCGGACAAAGACACTGTACAAGCCCTGGCCGGTTTGGCTCAGTGGTTAGAGCGTCGGCCTGCGGTCCCGAGAGACCCGGGTTCGGTTCCCGCTAAGGGCACGTACCTTGGTTGCAGTTTGTCCCCGGCCCTGGTTGGTCGTGCGAGTGGCAGCCACTCGATGTGTCCCTTTCACATCGATGTTTCCCTCTCTCTCTCTCTTCCTCTCCCTCTGTCTGTACAAAAAATGGAAAAATGTCCTCGGATGAGGATAAAAAAAAAAAAAAAAAAAAAAGGACCTATAAAGACACTGTACAATCTCACTTACATGTAGAATCTAAAACAGAAAAAGAATGTGTAGGATCAGAGAACACATTGGTGGCTGCCAGAGGTGGTGGGTGGGCAGGAGGTGGGCAAATTGGTAGGGAAGGGGTAAATAAAAAGAATAAATTCTGCCCTGGCCGGTTGCTCAGTGGTTAGAGCGTCGGCCTGCGGACTGGAGAGTCCCGGGTTCAGTTTCCACTAAGGGCATGTGCCTCATTTGCGGTTTGTCCCCGGCCCTGGTTGGGGTCGTGTGAGAGGCAACCAGTAGATGTGTCTCTCTCACATCAATGTTTCTCCCCCCCCCCCGCCACTCTATCTGAAGATAAATGTAAAAATGACCTCAGGTGAGGATTATTATTATTATTATTTTTTTTATCCTCACCGGAGGACATTTTTCCATTTTTTGTACAGATAGAGTGGGAGGGAGAGAGAGGAAGGGAGAGAGAGAGAAACATCGACGTGAAGGGACACATCGAGTGGCTGCCACCCACACGACCAACCAGGGCCGGGGACAAACTGCAACCGAGGTACGTGCCCTTAGCGGGAACCGAACCCGGGTCTCTCCGGACCGCAGGCCAACGCTCTAACCACTGAGCCAAACTGGCCAGGGCCTCAGGTGAGGATTAAAAAAAAAAGAATGTCCGGCCTATAGGAAAAGTCTTAATTTGAATTAATTAAAAAGAATTAATTTGAGCCGACTAATGAGAAAACGCCCAGAAACAAAATCTCAACACATTGAGAAATATTTACAAGAAGGGCAGTTATTTGTAATCCTCACCAGAGGATATTTTTCCATTCATCTTCAGGTAGAGTGGGAGGGAGAGAGAAAGAGAGAGAGAAACAATGACGTTAGAGGGACAAATCGACTGGTTGCCTCCCACATGACCCTGACCAGGGCCAGGGACCGAACCGCAAAAGGCACGTGCCCTTGACTGGAATCGAACCCGAGACTCTTCGGTCCATGGGCCGACGCTCTAACCGCTGAGTCACACCGGCAGGGCTAAGAAGGGCAGTTTGGCAGCTTATTTTATACATTAGCTGTTCGGTCTCCAAGCTTGCAAGGCCCACCCTGCAGGGCCCCCCGAGTGTGTGAGGGGTAGTCTATGGTCTCTACGTCTACAGTTCAGTAAACTTCTCTGGGAGGACAGGTCCGGTCTGGGTGGAAGTGCCTTCGTGGCCACAGATTCTGTCCCGTGGGGGCTGTGGCCTGAGGAAGGCCCGTGCCAGGGCCCTCTGGAGTGTGGGGCCCGTGCCAGGGACCCCGTTGCCAGGGTGAGGGCAGCACTAGGAAGACACCTCAGGGGTCCTCTATCCTGCAGGACACAAGCCCTTCCTTGGGCTCAGACAAGGGGCTCCCCAGCTCCGGGAGGAGCGACTCCCTGGCCCAGGGCCACTCTGTAAGCGGCTGCCTCCCTGGCCAATCCTCACTGACCTGAAACTTCCTGAACCCCAGAAACTCTGGCCTCGGGCAAAGGCCCTTGGCTGGCGTCCACACGCTTATACAAGTCTAGCAGGTGCCAGGCTGGAGTCCAACAGGCAAAGCCACAAACAGGCGCCTTTTCTGCAGGATGCTACAAAGTGGATTGTGTGTCTCGGACAGAGGATCCCTTAGAGGCCAAGGGTCTAAACAGACAGACAGACAAACTGTAGCCCAGACGTGGCTGAGACAGCCTCTGGCCTTCACACACTCGGGGCTTGAATTAGGCCTCAGTATTTCACCAGCCTCACAGCTCAATCCTCCCTGCTGGGCACTGGAGGAGAATGTGGGTTGTGCTGAAGGGTCCCGGGGAGATGGGGGGTCTAAATCCCACACAGCTAGGGGCACAAATCAGCAGGCCCAGATCGCCTCCTTCGGGTCTGTCCCAGCCGGAGTCTCCATGTTTCTTTTCAGGACATTTTCCTTTTTTTCCTCTTTTGAGTCAAGGAGCTGTGGTTCTTGTCCCCACTTTGTATATTTCACTGAGCACGAGAAACACCTGAAGTCAGAGGTTCTCCAGTGAGGCCCCAGGCCAGTGGCATCAGGGCTACCTGGAAACAAGCTACGAAGGCAAGTTCTGGATTCCCACCCAGACCCACTGAGGGGGACACACAGCAACCCCTGGCTACCGAGCCCTGGAGGTGAGGCTGGAGCGGCTTCAGGTCACTGGGACCTCTTCTTTCTTATTCAGGCACAGCTGCTGGGGACAGAAGACAAGATTCTTCTCCCCATAACTCCCCCTCCCCCAATGGTTTATCAAACTATTCTTCCAACAGAAGTAAGTGGGGGAAATTCTCATGCAAAGCCCTATTTTGCAGACAAATGTTATCATTGTAAAAAAAAAATTTAAGGGAAGAACATTAGCTAAAGTGTCGTTCTCACTCCCCAAAGGTACCCACAGTCCCCTGAACATCTTTCTCGAGATTTCTGACTACAAAATATAGGTTCATACTAAAAAAAACAAAAACAAAACACCCCACAAAAGCAGTTTGTATTGTCTGCTCCTTTCATAATATGTGTTTGGAATATCTTCACTGAAGAAGTAATGTTCTGGTGTATGGGGGTGTCAACAGAGCATAAATGAGCTCAGGAGGCTTTGGCTAGAAATACACGATAAAGACCTTTTGGGGAGGGGGGGTCTTAGGGTTTGCAATCGGAAAAGACAATTAGGCAATATGCAGAATGCTCCGAAAAGAAAGAAAAGTGGAAGAAAGCAGAGGGTTCTTACTGTAACAGGTACCTTCTCGAGAAGATTCAGTCCTGCGTTCCTAGGCCCCCCCCCCTTCTGATGTGCCGCCAAATCCTTAAGACAGACCCTACCTGCCCATCTAGTCACCGACCTCTTTTCCCTTAGATTGTCAAATAAGATGACAACAGCCAACACAATAGCCATCTGGTGTGAACGAATCAACATCATACCTTTTTGGGGGGTCAGATCAGCAAAAAATATCTACTTTTGGGTGTGCTGCAGACATTTAGTCATCAGTCTAGTGTGCCATGAGGTGAAAGAGGCTACCATCGCTCTCCTGGATGACCGGTGGTCCGGATGGGGGGCACCGTCCCCGAGTCCTGCATGGAGGGGTCGGCTGGAGGCTGGCTGCACGTCCAGGCATCGCACAGCACGGGCCGTGCAGCGGCTGCAGCCCCCAGGCCGGAGGGAAGAACAGTGGGACCCATCGCTCGGGCCCCGGCCTAGCTGCCTTTGCAACTGTGCAGCTTGGCTACAGGGCGCCACCCACCCCGGGGCCGACCCACACCGCGCGCAGCGGCCCGGGCACAGGCCCCGCCGAGGGGCAGGGGCGCGCGGCCGGCGTCTTCGGCTGTGGCCTCCTTCCTCGGGGGGAGGAAGGGTGTGGAAAGCACCCCGCATCCCGGACTCGGGCTCGGTAACTGCAGGCAGCGGGCCAGAGCCCGGCGGGGAGGACCAGGCGCGGCCGGCGGGGAGCGGTGCCGCCGGGACTCTCAGGCGAAAACACGGCAACTCCCGGATCGCCCGGCTCCACGCGGCCGCATTTCTGAAGGACACACGGACGACCCAAGTCAGCTACGGCCGGCGACATGTCCAGACCAAGTGACTTGAGAGCTTGCAGGCGAGCCCGGCCCGAGCGGCACCCCGCGGGTTCCAGGGTCCGGGGAGACGCTGGCTCCACTCCAAGTCCAGGTTCCGGGGCCCGCAGAGGAGGGAGCGGGACTCTCCCCTGAGCCCTTGGCTCCGCCCCTCCCCGTGCAGCCAATCGCGCCCTTAGGCCTCCGCGGGGGCGGGCTCAGTGCGCGGGCGGCGATTGGCCCCGGGGGCAGGGGGCGGGGCGCGGGGCCGGCCTATAAGAGGCCCGCGGCGCCGTCGCCGCTGCGTCGGCGTGCGTGCCCTGCGGTGTCTGCGAGGCTTCGGAGCCGGACCGCGCGCCCGCGAGCCATGACGACCCAGGCCGTGTGCGTGCTGAAGGGCGACGGCTCGGTGAAGGGCGTCGTGCGCTTCGAGCAGAAGGCAAGGCCGGGGCCGCCGTGCCCGCCGGCCCGCGCGGTCGCAGTGCTGAGTCACCGGCGAGCGCGCTGGGCCTGGGCGGGCCCGCGGGCCCGGGAGCGAGGGAGGGCCGCGGGGGGAGGCCGCCGCCCGGGGCCCGCGGCTGCGCAGCAGGTCGGGCCGCAGGGAGCCGCCGCCGCCCATCCCACGCTCCCTGGCGCCCCGAGCTGTCCCCAGTGCGGGTCCGCCCCGCGCCCGCCCGGCCGCCCGGCGCTGTGACGTCGTCCTGGGTGAAGGGCCGCGAAACGGGCGCACGCACAGCCCGCGTGGCTCTGCCGAGAGCTAGCCCGGCCCGGCCCGGCCCAACCCGGCCCAACCCGGCCCGGCGTACAGGCGAGAGCAGCTCCGGCCCGGCCCGGCGCGCAGGCGGGAGCAGCTCCTCCCCGGCCCGGCCCGGCGCGCAGGCGGGAGCAGCTCCGGCCCGACCCGGCCCGGCGCGCAGGCGGTTGCAGCTCCGGCCCGGCCCGGCCCGGCCCGGCCCGGCCCGGCGCGCAGGCGGGAGCAGCTCCTCCCCGGCGCGCAGGCGGGAGCAGCTCCTCCCCGGCGCGGGCGCGGGGCGGCTTCCCGGGCAGCGTGACCCGCTCCCTCTTTAAGGCCCCACCTTGATGAGGGTGCGGCTGTGTCCCCCGAGAAGGGGCCGCGGGTACTTGGCTTCACAGCCCTCCCGACAGCCCGGGGTTCAGCGGGCAGTAAGCTGTATTTGGTTGGCCTGCTGTGTGCCTACAAGTTTGGATTATTTCCCAGTTTTTCTAAGGTCAGAAAGGTCCGCCTGTAAGTCCGCATTCCTCGCTTCCCGGGAAACGTTTGGAGAGCCGCCCGTGCGGAGTCTTCCTTCGCCCCGCACCGCTGCTGCGCGGGCCACCGCAGCCCGGCCCTGCCGGTGCCCCCGGGGCTCGCGCTGAGCCGCCGTGAGCGCCCTGCGCTCGTGACCGGGACTTGCAGGCTCGGAAGAACCTGCCCTGCTTGTCTTTCTGTGCTTTTGATAACTGTGTGTTTCGGGGTGTCCTTAGAAGAGTCTAGCATCTCTATTTAAGAAAACACAAGAACAGTAACAGCTACCACAGTGCTTGATTTGAGCACCATATTTGTCCAGTGGAAAGTCGGATCTCGAAGGCTGACACCTGGCTAAGTAGGTCCTGACTATTGAAGAATGAAGACACGGTCCCCCGTGTTCCGTGTGGTGCGGGTGCCTGTGTATATTCCCAGTCATCAGATGGCTGCCGAGCTGTGACAGCTATGTCCTTGGTTTTGGGGTGTGGCCCTGCCGCACCTCTGCCCCATCGCTGGCTAAATGGCCTTCCCTGCTGTTTCCACCTGCTTCCTGACCTTGCTGTCCTTGCTTTTTGGTCTCAGTAGCGAGAGAGGAGAGGTTATTGATGTTTCAATGCCTAAAAGACTTCAGAAAATGGTACCTCTGGTTAGACTACAATCAACCCCCAGGGACCAAGGGATAGGACATTTTCTGGCTAAGAATCAAAAACACCTATGCTGGAATCATAATGTACTCCTGAAACATACAATCTTGTGTGCCAGTATTACGACACACAAGCATGCTCTGGGCACTGGGAACGGGTCCCTGAGGGTAGCCAGCAGGACATCGCTGGGCGCCTTTTTCTTTAAAAAGGCAAATCTATATATTTGCTGTATGGGAAAATGCATGAAGAAACCAAAGTGCTAAAAAGTAGCGTGTACTCCCATCTGGGTTACAAAGTTTGCTATGTACACGTATTCTCACCATGTGCAGACTTAATCTATCAAAAAGTACTTACAAAATAAATAAGAACCTTACTCCTTGTAAGGGTGTCAAACTCAGCGAGTCGACACGTCCACATGGAAGTGCTCCTTGCGCTCTGCCGGGTGCCTTTCCCCTCACTGAATCCCCACTGAATCCCCACTGAATCCCCACTGAATCCCCACTGAATCCCGAGCCTGGCCCAGGCCCCCTGCTGGGTGTCAGGACCAGGTCAGCATCTCCCTCTGGTTGGACATTCCCTGCTAGGAGGTGGTGGGGACTGGTCTTCTGACTCCCAAGTCCACGTTCTTTCTACGTGACCGTGAGCAGTGAAGGTAGTCAGCTGTTCCCTTCCCTGAGGGCACTTACTCACTTGCACTTTTCTCTGAATGAAGGGAAAAGGGCCGGTCAGCATCACAGGCGAAATCGAAGGACTGACCGAGGGCGAGCATGGCTTCCACGTGCATGAGTTTGGAGACAATACGAGAGGTGGGTGCCGAGCGGGCAGGGCCAGACCTGTGTGCCCTGCTAGAAGAACGGCGCTGAGCCGCCCCTGAAACCAGTCCACCGACACGACTGAGGTCACCCGAGAATCAGCCACAAAACTAGCCTTTGACTCTTGAGTGTGGAAAGGAATGGGAAGGCGTTTTTTTTGTTTGTTTTGATTATGGCTTGATTATATATGAGTCTCAGGTGGTCTTGTGTTTTGTTTTGTTTTTATCCTCACTGGAGGACATTTTTGCATGTATCTTCAGATAGAGCGTGAGGGGAGAGGGTGGGAGAGAGAGAGACACACATCGATGTGAGAGACACACATCAACTGGTTGCCACCCACACGACCCCAACCAGGGCCGGGGACAAACTGCAACCAAGGTACGTGCCCTTAGCGGGAACTGAACCCAGGACTCTCTGGTCCACGTGGGCCGATGCTCTAACCGCTGAGCCAAACCAGCCAGGGCTCAGGTGTTTTTTTGTTGTTGTTGTTCAGAGAGTGGGAGGGAGAGGGGGAGAGAGAGAGAGAGAAAACATCGACGTGAAAGGGACACATCGAGTGGTTGCCACCCACACGACCCAACTAGGGCCGGGGACAAACTGCAACCGAGGTACATGCCCTCTACGGGAACCAAACCCAGGTCTTTCTGAACCGCAGGCCAATGCTCTAACAGTTGAGCCAAACTAACCAAGGCCTCGGGTGTTTTATTTAAGGAAAACAATTCAGGCCTTGGTGGGTTGGGCTCAATGGTTAGAGCATCAGCCCACAGACCGAAGAGTTTTGGTTCTAGACTGGTCAAGAGCATGTACCTCGGTTGTGGTTAAGTCCCCAGCCCTGGCTGGGGTTGAGTGGGGGGCAACCAATGTGTCTCTCTCACATCGATGTCTCTCTCTCAACCCCCCTCCCCCATCTGAAGATAAATGGAAAAATATCCTGGGGTGAGGATTTAAAAGAAAAATAATCCAGCCACTTTGTGCCATCTGCATGTTCCTAGGCATTTGTGAGCAGGGGCTAAGGGGGGCTTTAGCCCAGGGTGTGTGTGCTCTGCCCTGTCCAGTGAGGACAGGCCCATACCCCACACAAGACCCTCCATGAGACAGGAAGGTACACACTGAAGATAGAAAGTGAGTTTCATCTCCTTATCTTGGGATGAGACGTTAACAAAAGTTTATGCGTGGAAAATAGTGGTCTTCTGCCCTGGCCGGTTTGGCTCAGCGGTTAGAGCGTCCGCCTGCGGTCCGGAGAGACCCAGGTGCGGTTCCCGCTAAGGGCATGTACCTCGGTTGCAGTTTGTCCCCGGCCCTGGTTGGTCGTGCGGGTGGCAGCCACTCGATGTGGCCCTTTCACATCGATGTTTCCCTCTCTCTCTCTTCCTCTCTCTCCCTCCCACTCTATCTGTACAAAAAATGGAAAAATGTCCTCGGGTGAGGATAAAAAAAAAAGAAAATAGTGGTCTTCTGTCATTTTTGAGTAATCTGACCTTCGTGTTTACACTATGAGAAATTGATTTCGTTTTTAGGGAACTTGTTTTTAATGTTCCTTAATTGGATTCTTATAGTGATTCAATGACCAGATTTGGTCCATTTCAACAATTACAGAATTTCTCAAGTTGCTTCCTGGTTTTATGGCCTCTGCGTTTGGAGGCCGTAGCTGCGGCTGTGAGTCACTGAGCTGTTCTGCGGGGGTGCAGGGCTGGGGGAGCTGTGCACGGTGAGGGGCGAGAGCTGGGTCACGGAGAACCCCTGCTCCGGGTGAGCTCTGCGCATGGCAGGGCTCGCGCACAGCCGGCCTGCTTGGTGTTTTTGTGTAATTCTCTCCTGAGGATATTTCTCCATTGATTTTAGATAGAGTGGGAAGGGGTGGGGAGTGAGAGACACATTGATTGGTTGCCTCCTGCATGACCCTAACCTGGGCCAGGGATCGAAACTGCAACTGAAGCATGTGCCCTTGACTGGGAATCGAATCCATGCCTCTCGAGTTCTCAGCTCGACACTCTTTTTAGTTTACTGATTTTAGAGGGAGAGAGAGATAGAAACATCGATGAGAGAACATCGATGAGCCGCCTCCTGCATGCCCCACACTGGGGATCAGGCCCACAACCTGGGCATGTGCCCTGACCGGGAATCTAACTGGTGGCCTCTTGCTGCATGGGTCAACGCTCAACCACTGAGCCACACTGGCTGGGCGTAGGCCGACACTCTTAACTGCTGAGTCAAACCGGCCAGGGCCCGGGCAAGCCGTGTTCACAGAAGGCAGCCCGAATGCTGCCCGGAGCTGTGTGGGCGCAGCCTCGGCCCTTGGACATGGCTGCTGCCTCTGCTGTGCACGCACAGGCGGGAGAGCTGCGGGCAGTGTGCTGCTGGTGGACTCAGACTGTGTGTCAAGGTTTCCTACCTCCATACAAACTGGGATCATGATCGTGGGATTTTTACAGTAGAACCACCAGTCAAGATCGACTGTTGGCTTCTTATTTTATAGAGCAGTGGAGAAACCCAGTCCAGAGAAGGGCATGAACTTGACTAGCGACAGAGTGCTCAGCCCTTGTACCCCTCTCCCTGCCTGTTCTGTTTGTGGGCAGGGCTGCTTCCTGTCCTTAAGGCCTGGAAGTCCTCATGTAGGTCGGCTCGTCCTCCATTCGAGGTTCTAGCAGCAAACAGTTTCTTCTTAGAATTCATTTGGAATTTTGATTCATAGTTTAGCTACTTTTTTTTTTTTTTTTTTTTGTGGTAAATAGGCTGTGCCAGTGCAGGGCCTCATTTTAACCCCCTGTCCAGAACCCACGGTGGGCCCAAGGATGAAGAGAGGTAAGTGACGAAAGGCTGGCCTCTTGGGTCAGGGTGGGTATACTGCTTGAAATTGCGTGCTGCTGGGCCGAGGGACTGACAGATGGGGACACTCAGAGCGGCTTGGTTGGTGGCATTTATTGAGCACAGAGCTAATACAAGCACCAGAGGAGCTGACACAAGAAATGAGTGACAGTGCTGTCAACACGAACAAACCATCACTGTGACACGGGGTTTTGCAGATAGAAATCTGATACTGAGACTTCACTGAGACTCCATTTGTAAGTTTGTTTTCTGAGAGCCTTTCAGGAAAGAGGAGGTTTGAGGACAAGGACTTGTCTGTTTCCGCACCCCACCTCGGGCAGGGCTTCACTGGAACTGCCACGTGCTGTCAGCACTCCGCCTCTGGACTGGTGGCCCGGCCGTGACCCCAGGGACTCGGCGTGGACGAGCCCTGTCACAGCTGTGTCTAGCCAGAAGTGCCCGCACCTCCGGCCGCCCCAGTCTGACCCGGTCTGTTTCTGATCTGGTCTGTGAACTATTCTGACGCTGTTTCACCCTCAGGCACGTGGGAGACCTGGGCAACGTGACTGCGAACAAAGAAGGTAAGGTCACGCTGGCTCTCGAAGACGCGGTGATCTCCCTCTCCGGGGACCATTCCATCATTGGCCGCACGATGGTGGTGAGTGTTCATGTGCTAAGGACACGCAGCTTCTCCTCACACAGTCACGTGTCTTTTCATGGCGATGTATCCTGGTTCCTAAGGATCCACGTAACTGCGCCCGTAGCTCAGAGTAGCAGCAGCAGTCACTCTGTTAGGTGACCGTGAGGAAGGGCTCCCCACGGAGGCCAGCTCGGCACTGTTCAGCGAGGCAGAGTGTGGCCGATCGCGCTGGATCGCGTCCGATCTGCGTGGCAGCCCCGTGCCTTTGCCTGAGGGAGCGGGTCCCTCTGCAGGTAGACCACACTCCGTCTAGCCCTGGACGGCCTTGGCTGAGTCTTCACCCCTGCCTGCACGCTGCCGCCCGTCTAACCCAGGGCCACTGGCTGCCCCGATTCCCTCAGGAGCTGCGTCTGTTCACACACAGCACCCGGTACAAGCAGCGAGGACAGCGGGCCTGCAGGGACCACTTCTTTCAGTTGACCCTGGTCCTGAGCATCTTTTTCAGCCACAGTAGAGAAGCAGAAAAATTTATAAATGTTTGATGAGAAAAATTTAAAGTACTATTTTAAATAGTTCAGGCTATTTTAAGGATTATTATTATTTATAGGCATAGTCATTAGGCACGATTTTGATCTTTTTTTTTGAAGGGGGTTCACATTTCCTTCATTCTGAAAGCAACTTAGAGTGTAAAAGAATGACTGCCGACACCGAGGTCACCAGACTGTCACGGGGGTGCAGACCGCACGTAGCTGTGACAGTTGTTTGGTTCTCGGTATTTCGTTTACCGGCAGCTTACCTAGTGTTGAAAGGTAATTTACGCCCTGGCCGGTTTGGCTCAGCAGTTAGAGTGTCGGCCTGCGGTCCAGAGAACCTGGGTTCGGTTCCCGCTAAGGGCATGTACCTCGGCTGCAGTTTGTCCCCAGCCTTGCTTGGGATCGTGTGGGTGGCAGCCAGTTGATGTGTCTCTCTCACATCGTTGTTTCTCTCTCTCTCTCCCTCCCGCTCTATCTGAAGATGAATGCAAAAATGTCCTTGGGTGAGGATTTAAAAAAAAGTAATGTCTTTGCACCGTCAAGAAAAAGCTGAACAGTAGTTCCCACTTTTTAATACTTTTGCATTTACCTTCAGATAGAGCGGAAGAGGGGGAAGGAGAGAGAGAGAGAAACATCAATGTGAGAGAGACACGAGTGGCTGCCACCCACACAATCCCAACCAGGGCCAGGGACAAACTGCAACCGAGGTATGAGCCCTTAGCAGGAACCGAGCCAGGGTCTCTCTGGTCTGCAGGCTGACGCTCTGTGGAGCCAAAGTGGCCAGTGCAGTTACTGCTTTTCATTACTAGATTAAATATGAGTCTATTTTTCTACTAGGATTATTTTCACATTCTTTTCTAGTAAGTGCTTCTTTTAGAAGTCTTTTGGGTATTGTTAGGAAGAGGTGGTGATTAATAGTCCTAAGTTAATATGTTCTTAATATTTTTCCAAGGTCCATGAGAAACGAGATGACCTGGGCAGAGGCGGAAATGATGAGAGCAAGAAGACGGGGAATGCTGGGAGCCGTCTGGCTTGCGGGGTGATTGGGTTCGCCGAGTTACATTCCTGAGGAGGAGATCAGAGTCCTAGTAGTAGCTCCTCTGTTACCTTGCTAGTGGTAGAAATTTAACTTGATAGACATTAAACACTGTAATCTTAAAAGTGTAATTTGTTTCTTTTTAAAAATTGCTTTAAGTACCTGTGATGTGAGCTGATTTGTATGGCTATATAAATCTCCTGTTCAATTAAAATGTGTTTCGGTGATCTTGGTGTCTGCAGACTTCATCACACAGGCATGAAACTGAGCTGTCTGACTGGCGCCTGCAGCACACAGGCTTGATGTGGCCTGTATTTTGAGCTTATTGAAGCGTCCAGCTTGAAATCTCAATTAGCTGAGGCTCACAGAGCTCGAAGAGCAGACTTAGCAGTATGTTGACAGGTACTATTTTCCACTCTTTGGAAAGTGTTTTGAACGAGATAATCACAATGTTTGCCTTTTCACAGCTAGTCTCTGAGCTAAGACTGACTGGAACGTGAATCTTGGACAGATAGGTTGCCCTGTGTTAGCTTTAGGGAGATTAACGGGTTTCCCTGCTTACCACTTAGCATTTATTTGAAAATTGGATCTTATGGTTTGAGAGCCCTTTGGTACCATAGTGAAGCTGAATGGCTCAGTTAATGGCCTCGGTTGGCCAGAGATGAATTCACCTACCTGCCAAAATGGTGCGTGCCTCACTCTTGTCGGCCTGTGAACATCTAGTTAAAAGACAAGCAGAAGTTGGCAGTCGGCGTTCAGAGGAGCCCTTTAAAGAAATACACTGCATCGCTGTAAGATGGGGCCGAGGACGTGTCTGATCGTCAGCCAGTGACTTCAAGTCTGCTGCTCCTACGTAAGGACTGCATCCCTGTGAGCGCTTTCCAGTGACATGCTGATCCGCCTCAGGTCTGGCCACGCGGCTGCTTTGTTAACTGAACACTGAAACACTTCGGGTAGCAAAACCGGAAATGAGCTGCGATTCTGACTGACCAGAAAGGTAGGATGCACTAAAGCAGATCATTCAGGAGGAAAAGCTATTTTAGGAAGAGGCAATTCGCAGCGTTTTCAAAGTAAAGTAGGTGCTAAAGGACAGACGACAGTACGCTCACTACGTTAAAACTGCTGCTGGGTAGAGAGCGTAAAGACAAACAGCATCCAACGAGATTTCGCTGACACGTCTTACACGTGTCCGGTGAGACTCTAGGGCAGGGGCTCCCTCATGACTTTTCGGGCCTCAAGCACACTCGCTACCACTTGTAGTACCTGTGGGGCTCTGTCCTGTGCAAAGGGGTGGTCTCAATACTTTCAACAGGAAATACAGGCTGCAAGCTCTTGAAATCTGAACACTAAATAATCACGATTCTCTCTTTCCAGAAGCAGTTTGTTGGGATTTTTAAACCTCCCAGTGGGCCCCATAAAACTAAGGGAACGTTGTGTAGTTCAAGTCTGAAGGTAGGACATGGGGCTCTGTCCTAAAGGCAGGAGCACGAGAACATGACCCTAGACACCGTCTCCCCATCAAACGGCGACCTCTGCGCAGATACTAGTAAACCCAGTAATGCAGCATTGCCTGGGGATGGGGGCAAAGGAAAAGTGAACCGCTCAGCACACCAACACCTGGACAGTTAAAAAACCTAAGAAAAAAGCTTCAACTAGGCCACGGACACTTGGATTTTGTCACGGCAGGTGTTCAGCACTGGTTAGTTGTAGCTCCTCGACTACAGGAGGAGGTCTGACTTGGCTTTGGATGTCTTCATGTAACAGTTCTTGGATAACCTACAATTTCTCCTAGTTAACAGTTTTAAGCAGAGATAAAAGTAGTTCATAGGCGGTACCCAGTTCAGTCTACCTCTGCCCAGAGGGGAGTTTACAAAACCGGCACAGAAGGGGAACAGGCAAAGATTCTAGTAAACAACAGGTTGCATTGAAGTCCTTAAACATACAAAACAAAACAAAAAGCTTTCAGGTTGCAAACGTCAATCTTAATCTCTCCCACCCCTTTGAAAAGTTTAATGGGAAAACATTCAACCTTGTCCATAAGTAATACTCAGGCAGTCAGATAACTTGTAGTACAACGGGCAATGTTGGATCCAACCTTTCTCCCACCAGAATTCCTCTTTACAAATTAATTAGGGCAACATTTACCACAAAGCCAATGGCAAAAACAAAAACAAACCTTGATCAAACTGCAAAACAAACATTAAAACCACTAACTTTTACCTTATGATTAAAACACTAAAAATCAAAAGTATTACAAATGCAAGTGTTCGCAAACTACATAAAGATGCCTATTTCCATCAGGTCGGTCTAACTTGGACTCGAACACAGTACCAACAGCTCAAACTTTGATGGTGAGCAATCCTTTTCCACCTGAGTGCAGTGTACGAAGAATAGCACACATTAAAGTTTGTTACGAAAATAGAGTTTATTAAAAACATCCCTATTGTCTGAGGAGCTTTCACCGTTAACCTTGTCTTAAATTAAAAAAAAAAATAGAGAGCACTTCTAATTACGATTTGTAAACTTTTTAAAGTCAAAACTTTAAAAAAGTTACAGCAAAAAGGGTAATATTTATTCATATTTTCAGTATTTTTTGTTATTTTGTGGCTATTTTTAAATAGAAGGGAAGCAATCAAATTGCTTACAACGCCCCACAACTACCGTGGGGCGACAGCGGGAGCGAATATAATACAGCATCTGTACACCTCAGCTCTGCACGCGCCGCACGCTCTGCACGCTCCACACGGCCCAGTCCCTAGCGAGCCTCTGCTGCCGGGCCGGAATCCTTCTGGGGTTCCGAGGGTGAGGTAGCCTCAGCAGGCAGCTCTTCAGCAGGCTTGGCCGGCGCAGGCTCGGCCTCCGCCTTGGCGAGTTCCGAGGTCGTGTCTGCACTCCCCGCCTGGCCAAGGGGAGGCTCGGCAGCCCTGTCTGCCAGCTCAGGCTTCTCCTTGGCGCGGGTCTCCTCCTTCTCTCTGCGAGACTCCCTATCCCTAGAATCTCTCTCCCGGTCCCGGTGCCCAGCAGACCGCCTGCTTCTGTCCTCTGAGTCTCTGTGTCTGTCCCGGTCAGGGCTCCTCCTCCCCCACTCTCTCCTCTCTCGGCCACTATTTTCTCTCTCGTCATTCCGGTTCCCGTACCGGTCCCGGTCATTCTCCACCCTACTTCCGAAAGATCTTCTTCCAAACCTTTCTTGGTCTCTGCCTGAATTGAACTGCTGCCTGTTGTCATTTCTAAACGGCTGCTGCTGTGGCTGTGTTGGAGGCGGCTGCTGCGTTGGTGGCGGCTGCTGCGTTGGTGGCGGCGGCTGCTGCTGTGGTTGCTGCTGCCTCCCGTCTCTGTCTTCAGGACCCCCTGGGCCTGGGCCTGGGCCTGGGCCCCCAAGCCCTGGCATGCCACCAGGCCTCACAAAGGGGCCATGTGGGGGGAAGGGGCCTTTCATTCCATGGGGTGGAGGCACCCCAAAGCCCCCCGGTCCGGGCGGCGGCCCTCTGTGCATCATGTGTGGTGGCATGGGCCGAGGCGGCAGCAGAGGGAACCTCTGCAGATGAGGCGGAGGCATTCCCGGGGGGCGCTGCAGGGGGATCAGGCCCGGCCGGGCACCGAGAAGACCTGTAGAAGGTGCCTGGAGACCAATCACAGGACCAGGAGCAACTCCTTGAGTACCTAGAAGGCAATAAAGCAACAACGTCAACACAGCGGCACTGTCTTTCCAGCCCTCCTGCAGCTGCGAACAAGCGCAGTGTGGCCCAGCGCCACCACGGCCAGCAGTCTCCAAGATACAGGTAGAGTGTGCTGCATGTCAGCATCTGAGCAGAGTCCAACGAGCTGGACACGGACACCGTGAATCCACAATTTCTGGAAAGAGGATGGAGCCTTCGTGAGGAGCTGTTACTCCTCAGGACACTGAAAACATCTCACGAGACAGGGCTGGACCGCTCAAGCCGCCCGCGGTTCTCAGGCGCACTCAGGAAAGGCCTCCGTCTTCCCTGGACTCACTACAACGGAAGGGCCCCGCCGAACCTCGGACACGCCCTGCGGAGCTCCGGGCAGTGCAAGCGCCACTCCCACCGACGCAGCAGCATATTGGCACGGGCCCCTCTAAGAGCACAGGGCACCGTGCACCGAGCCAGGCCGAGCCGAGCCGACCTGCTGAGTCACGGCTGCTCAGTCCTGCGCCTGCCCTGCATCCTTCACAGGTGGCGACACTGCTCGAGCTGCCGCCGCCGAAAGTGGCAACGATGACAGGGTTGCGCGCGCTTACACGAGGACCCTCTCGCTCGGGTGAAGCATCGCCCAAATCCCACAACCCACCAGTCACGATATGGGGAAGAAGTATTTCTGTTGGGTTCACCCCTGGAGTAACAGGAAGGCACTGCTCTCTCGTTTCTCTGCACATGTGAACAGCAGGCAAATCCGTGCCCAGGAGTTACTGGCACGGCCAAGACGCTCCACCCGCAGGCTGCAGAACAGTGCCTGCGTGAGTCACGGCAACGCCACCCAAGTGCAACAGACACCGACGCAGCCTCAGAGCAAACCCAACGCGTGGGCCGGGGTCTGCTCCTCCCCACACCACTTCCGCCCACTCCCTCCCACACACTGGACAAGTTGGCCTGCTCCCAGGTTTCTGTATAAACTATAAACAGAAATTTCTGCTGTGGTTTTTGCTCCTCACTACACGTGGTCCAGTGCTGTTCTGTGGGACCTAAACTCTGAACAGAGGAGCCTGAAACGCGTGTGCACCAGCTTGTAACTCTTTCAGCACGAACACTCACTAGCTCCAGTATTTACTCAGACAAGTGCCTTAAAGAGACACACAATAGCTGTGACCCTGGACATGTGCCTCACAAATGGGGTGATGATGCCTGCCTCCTGTTGGGATTGAACGGCACATAAGATGTGGGGTGAGCTCAGAGCCTGGCCCAGAGTTAAGTGCTGGAATATTATTCCACACAAATATTTTGACCATAAATACCTTAATGCTAAATCTCATCAAAAACAAACAGCAGCTCATTTGTGATCATTAATATCACTTAAACAAATCGAACTTTACGTCCCACTAGCTTTTATTCCAGGACTAAAGACCAGTGTTTACTATGTAGAAGTCAGAGTATCTACAGGCTCAAGGAGCCAATGGCAAGTTTTAAACAACAAGAAAAATGGGCAGGGGGTTCAGAACATTTTATCACAGAAGAATTAAGTTCAGCCCAGCTGGTGTGGCTCAGTGGTTGAGCATGGGCCCATGCACCAAGAGGTCGTGGGCCCAATCCCCAGGGGGGGATGTTTTTCTCTCTCTCTCAAATCAATAAAGAAAAAAATAAGAATTCAGTTCAGACTCCTGAAGGGAAACCGAAGGCCCTGTCCTGGCCTCCCCATGACGACGGGCATCCTCTGCTACCACAGTGACTGGCCACAGGGCACGCAGCAGAGAAATGAGCTGTGACTCTTCGTAAAGTATGAGCCATCTATGGAAACACATCTCTTAGGTCCCATTAAACCTGTTCTGAGGGTGCAGACAGACTCGTCATATTTTTAACCACCTACAAAAGCACAATAGTTTTTATAAAGGTAAATGTTGCCTAATTCACCTATTCTACATGTGGATAATTATATCTGGGATTTGCTTAAAATGTTAAACACGCAAATCTCATTTCTCATTTGTACATAAGATGATTTCCTTTTAACCCTTCACAGACCAGCACATTTTGCAGATTCCTAACACAAAATTCCCATAGTCCCAAATGTTGCTCTTCAGACCACAGAAACGGCAAAACTGTGAAGTGTTTTTTTTTTTTTTGGCTTATCTGTAGTTCTTCATTATTTATTTTTTAAAGTGACCATGTGTTGCTTTCTTAAAAGTGACATTTAGTTAGCAAAATACATCAGGGGATAAGCCCTTGCAGGCATGCTACTGCATCTGACCCGTATTTTCATCAGGAAAGCGGACATTACGCATAGGCCAATGGCACATGTAGTGAGTTACTCACCTCTAAAGGGCATTCAAAGCAATTATTATTTTATCTGGAAGTAGGTACAATCCCCCACTGACGAGTTTTCTAGACTTGCAAATTCATTCACTCACATATACATGGAACAGCTACCTGGGCTTTGGATCATTAACTCGTTTAACATGCTGGGGACATAAAGATAAACATGGCACTTCCCCTTCCAACAGGATACAGCGTGGGAACAGACACACCACCAGGAGGCCCACCAGCACGCGGCCACATGGAGCCGACAGAGCTGGGGGCGTGCACCTGCAGGGGAGGCCCGGGGGAGTCTGAACGGGGTCTCACAGGAAGGACACGAGGCCGACACGGCACGACAGACACAACTGGCGGAGGGTGGCAGCTTCTGAAAGGCCAGTGAGGGGAGGAGCCGGGTGTGGTGTTCTGAGAACAAGTGTCTGATGACAACCGAGAGCAGAACCTCCACAAGATGAGGTTCGTTACTGCAGCAGCAAGAATGGACGTAGACACAAGTCACCACCAGTGTGAAGCACAAGGCTGCTGAGGCTGAGCAGCTGCGGCAGGCCAGGCGAGCCCGAAGCCTTCCGTGCACACGAGGAGCTTGGAGGGCTCCCAGCGGGGAGGACCCTGTGATCATTCAGAGAGACCCTTCGGAAGTCTTCGGGAAAGCATGGCAGAGAGGCCAGTGGAGAGGAGGCAGCTCCGATCTGGGGAACGGCAAGGAAATGGCCTGAGGAGCTCTAAGGCATCAGCGGCGGGACTGACAGGGTCTGAGAAGCCACTCTTTCTCAAGACAGGTGGCAGATGTCACACGGCTGCTGAGAGCTGGGAGGTCTGGGCCACCTCTGTGGCGACAGGTGGACAAACTGATCATGCATGGACACCTAGCTCTCGGAAGACGAGTGGCTGTTACCCTGAGTACAGGTAAAACAACAAAGGTAAGAGTTCAGATCTGAGAGAATAGACTCAATTAGAAGCCTCTAAAATGTCTAATATGGCAACATTTAAGGCAGACTAAGAAAACGACAGCCCATAATGTCTGTATGCAAATTCAATTTTAAAAAATACACTGAAGTTTAACTCAAAATAACCAAGACTTAACTGGTATTTCCTCTGATGAGCCAGAAAGTGGCTGTTGCACAATTAAAAATAGAAGTCAGCCCTGGCAGGTTTGGCTCAGCAGTGGGGTGTCAGCCTGCGGACCAAGGAGTCTTGGGTTCAATTCTGGCCAAGGGCACATCAGTCAATGTGTCCCTCTCACATCGATGTTTCTCTTTCTCTCCCTCCCACTCTATCTGAAGATAAATAGAGAAATATCCTTGGGTGCTCTGGCCGGTTTGGCTCAGTGGTTAGCGTGTAGGCCTGCGGTCCAGAGAGACCCGGGTTCAATTCCTGCTAAGGGTGCGTACCACGGTTGCAGTTTGTCCCCGGCCCTGGTCGGGTTGTGTGGGAGGCGGCCACTCAACGTGTCCCTTTCACGTTGATATTTTTCTCTCCCTCCCTCCTACTCTATCTGAACAAAAAGTAGAAAAGTATCCTCGGGCACCAAAAAAACAAACAGTCAAGTATGGCCGGTGTGGCTCAGTGAACCGAGCGTCACCCGAGGGCTAAGTCCCTGCTCTGTTCTCGGTCAGGGCACACGCCCGGGGAAGTGGCTTGATCCCCAGCAGGGGGCGTGCCGGAGGCAGCCAACTGATGTCTCTCACATCAATGTTTCTCTCTTGCTTAAAAATAAAAAAATTCAAAAAAAAATTCAAAAAAATTTGCAAACTAAGTAAGATTAGGGGAGGTGCCATTGCTCTGTATGGCAGCGAAGATGGTCAGAATGACAAGGAACAGAACGCAGGCATGTGAAAGGGCTAGAGGGCGCTGAGGAAGGGGGTTGGTGCCACGGGCGGTGGCCAGTGTGGAGGCTGAAATCTCAGAACGTAAACAAGGGCTAGAAAAGATACAAAGCTGAGCCGGGGGTGTGGTCAGGGACGCCAGCAGTCACTACTGGCGGAGACCACCTGCACCAGCCAGCCGGGAGCACAGGGCGGAACCGGGACCTCTGCAGGAAAGCCAAGGCGGGGTACCTGAAGGGGGAGGGGCGCAGGAGCTGGGGCAGGGGACTATCAAGAGGCAGTTGCAAAGGCAAGACAGTCCTGCCTGGTGGCAGTAACCTGGTCCTCCCCTGCCTCTAGAAGCCTGGCCCTTTCACTACAAGTAACTCGATCACTTCCAAATCCTCATCTCCAGCACCCTAGTCTCTGACCCCTTTCCCTGAGCAATCTCCAACCCATGGGGGTCACCCCAACACCTTCACGTGTACCTCCCTCCTTACCTGCCGGGAGCCCAGTCTCCCTCGCCACTCGCCTCCGTGTTCGTTTCCTGTGCAACCCCGACCTAAGCTGCTCCAGAACCTGGCTGGGCTGCCCGCCCTGCCCCGCACTGACCGGTCTCGCCGTGGCCAGCGAGCCCCGTCCTCTTACTCAGTCACGTCCCTGTTCCCCCTCAGTGCTCCGCTGCTGCGCAACAGGCAGTGAGATCTCAGCAGAGCCCGCTGCTCCCACGCAGGGCGCACCGTTCAGTGGCTTCCAGCCTATTCAAGGTTGGGCACCGGAGAACATTCCCATCACCCCAGACACCCCGGGCCCGTCGACCAAGCCCCCACCCGCAAGGCTACCGCGCCCTGCTCGCATCTCCATGGACTTGCCT